AGTTAATTAGCTCCAACACATTAAGGGTAGAGTCATACAGGGAATTGTGGCAACATCTGCTTTGTTTGTTCCAAGGAATCTATGCAAATAAACAGGAGGAATTACTGTTACTGAGCATGTATAACATAATTATATTTGTCCAAATATTTTAGACTATGTTCTTGTTATTTATTCTTCCTGGCAAGACCAAGTCAAAGAGAATATAAAAGGTAAGCAGGTCCTGGGTCCCCAGACCATCGATGGACCTCCTTCTGCACATCACATTGTGAGGGAAAGGCTGCAAGGACTGACCTGGAGGGGTGGAAGTAAAGACGATTAGAATTGTCAAGGTTTTTATTTAAAGCTATAAAAATAGGGGCGCCTGGGTGGCTCAGTCATTAGGCATCTGCCTTCTGCTCAGGTCATGACCCCAGGGTCCTGGGATGGAGCCTCACATCAAGTCCCACATCGGGCTCCCTGCCAGTGGGAGGCCTGTTTCTCCCTCTCCTGCTACCCCTGCTTGTGTTCCCTTTCTCGCTGTCTCTCTCTCTGTGTCAAATAAATAAATAAAATATATTTTTTTTAAAAACCATAAAATAGTAAGTTTGAAATCATCTTTATTTTTTAAAAGATTTTATTTATTTGATAGAGACACAGCGAGAGAGGAAACACAAGCAGAGGGAGTGGGAGAGGGAGAAGCAGGCTTCCCGCTTACCAGGGAGCCCAGCCCCATGCAGGGCTCCATCCCACAACCCTGGGATAATGACCTAAACCAAAGGCAGGCACTTTACAACTGAGCCACCTAGGCACCCCTGAAATCATCTTTAAAAAGAACAATATGAGGGCACCTGAGTGGCTCAGTGGGTTAAGCCTCTGCCTTCGGCTCAGGTCATGATTGCAGGATCCTGTGACAGAGCCCTGCATCGGGCTCTCTGCTCAGCAGGAGCCTGTTCCCTCCGCTCTCTTTGCCTGCCTCCCTGTCTATCAAATAAATGAATAAAATCTAAAAACAAAACAAAAGAAAAGAATAATATGTAGGTGCCTGGGTGGCTCAGTCAGGTAAGCATCTGCCTTTGGCTCTGGTTGTATATCCAGAGTCCTGGGATTGAGCCCCATGTTGCCTTGGGCTCCCAGCTCAGTGGGGAGTCTGCTTCTCTCTCCCTCTCAAATAAATAAATAAAATCTTTTTTTAAAAAGATATTTATTTGAGAGAGAGAGAAAGCACCAGCAGGGGGGACAGTCATAAGGGGAGGGGGGAAGCAGACTCCCCACTGAGCAGGGACGCCTGATGTGGGGCTCCATCCCAGGACCCTGAGATCATGAGTTGAAGGCAGACGCTTAACGGACTGAGCTACCCAGGTGCCCCAATAAATAAAATATTAAAGAAAAAAATTTATTGCACGTTGGGGCGCCTGGGTGGCTCAGTGGGTTAAAGCCTCTGCTTTTGGCTCAGGTCATGATCCCAGGGTCCTGGGATCGAGCCCCGCATCGGGCTCTCTGCTCAGCGGGGAGCCTGCTTCTTCCTCTCTCTCTGCCTGCTTCTCTGCCTACTTGTGATCTCTGTCTGTCAAATAAATAAATAAAATCTTAAAAAAAAAAAATTTATTGCACGCTAGATGCCTTCCTGTGTTCTCCTTCCCATTAGTAACCAGTTAGTAAGAGTTAGTAATGACTACCTTCAATTTTTTTTTTTAAGATTTTATTTATTTATTTGACAGAGAGAGAGAAAGAAACCATAAGTAGGGGGAATAGCAGGCAAAGGGAGAGGGAGAAGCAGGCTTCCCTGCTTTGTGGGGAGTGGGGCTCGATCGCAGGACCCTGGAATCATGACCCGAGCTGAAAGCTGATACCTGACCGACTGAACCACCCAGGCGCCCCTACTCTGATTTCTACTACTATGGTATTGGAATATAAGATACCTAGTTGGTCTTTGTTGTGGTTCCTGGCACAAGAGTTCCTAAAACTCTTGTAATTTTCTAAGTGATAATGGTGAAAAAGCGCATCTTTTGCTATTTATAATAAGTCCTTCTCAACCAAACCTGAGTTTATGTTAATGGGGTGACTCAAGATGGTTCCTCAGATAGCTTCAGGATGGAGGCTGGTTGCCAGAGGAACCAACCATGTGATTCCAGGTTTGGAACTTTTAGGCTCAACCCCTCAACCTCTGAAAACGGAAAAAGGAATGGGGATTGAATTAATTACCAAAGGTTAATGATTTAATTAATCATACCTTCATAATGGAACCTCCATATAAACCTTAAACTATGAGGTGTGGAGAGCTTCCAATTACGTGAATATATCCACATGCCATGAGGGAGTGCACCCCAAACTCTACAGGGACAGAAGTTCCTGTGTTCAGGACCCTTCCAGACCTCATCCTATATACTTCTCCATCTGGCTATTCATTTGTATCTTTTATAATATCCTTTATAATAAACTGCTAATAGTATTTATTTTCCTGAGTTCTCTGAGCCATTATAGCAAATTACCAAACCTAATTAGGTCATCATGGGAACCCTCAGTTTATCTACTATTGATTGACATTTGAACTATTTCCTGTTAATGGCTGTTAATAAAACTATGACTATTCTTTTGCCCTTTAGTGGACATAAACACTTATTTCTGTAGTTTACCCAGAAATAGAAGTTCTGGATCATAACGTACGCATACCCAGCTATAGTAGGTACTGCCATAGATTTTTCCAAATTGTACCAATTTATATGCCCACTAGCAATGTATGAGAATTCCAGTCATTCTACCTCCTTACCAATCCTTGGTATCATCAACAGGATTTTTTTTAAGGATTTTATTTATTTAGTTGACAGAGAGAGAGAAATCACAAGTAGGCAGAGAGGGGGGAGCAGGCTCTCTGCTGAGCAGAGAGCTGGATGTGGGGCTCAATCCCAGGACCCTGAGATCATGACCTGAGTCAAAGCCAGAGGCTTAACCCACTGAGCCACCCGGGTGCCCCATTTTTTTGTCTTTTTTTTTAAAGATTTATTTATTTGAGAGTGAAAGGGAGTGAGAGAGAGAGAGAGAGATGGAGAAAGAGCGTGAGTAGGAGGGACAGAGGGAGAAAGAATGGTTGGTTAAGCATCTGACTCTTGGTTTGGGCTCAGGTAGTGATCTCAGGGTGGTGAGATCTAGCCCCACATTGGATTCTTGTGCTCAGAAGGAAGTCTGCTTGAGATTCTCTCTCTGTCCCTCCACACTTGTGCATGCTCTCTCTCAAATAAATAAATCTTTAAAAAAATAATAAAAGAGGGGCACCTGGTTGGCTCAGTGGATGAAGCCTCTGCCTTGGGCTCAGGTCATGATCTCAGGGTCCTGGAATCAAGCCGCTCATGGAGCTCTCTGCTCAGGAGGGAGCCTGCTTCCCCCCTTCTCTCTGCCTGCTTCTCTGCCTACTAGTGATCTCTCTCTGTGTCAAATAAATAAATAAATCTTTAAAACAATAATAATAATAATAAAAGCAACATGGACTTTTAAACTTCGAGGTAAATCTTCATTCCACAGAAATTGTGAGCTCTGCCGAGAGGTTAAACTAGAGCTAGTTCTTAGGATGCCAAGATGAAGTGCACTAACCTTGAGGATGAGCCTGCAGCTTCTGACAGGGGCAGATACCAGGATCCAAGTGTGGCTCATCATGAACCTAGAGATTCTCAAAGGGATTCCAGGCTCTTGCCCAATGGGCTCCTGGGTCACCGAGGGCATTGTGAGGCAAGAAAGAACTGGAACAATAGGCTCAAAAAGGAAGGTGAACCACTTCTGACCCATTCACTCTGTGCATGTCTCTCAAGGGATAGGCCTGACCAAGTAAGATGGGGTTGCCTTTCCCAAGGTGGCATTAGAGATTAGTGGCAGTGCCCACTTGGGATGGCAGAGGACCCTGTCTCAATCTGGTCTTTGTTTCGACTTGGAAAACAAATCCAAATCTTGTAGGCAGAACTTCAGATGGGTCAACAGAACTCCCTGGAGGTATGAGGCCTGAAGCAAGCAGCAGGTAACTGGGCACTACAGCCCGAGGCCGGTCAACCCTAAGCAAGAACATCCTGTTTCCTCAAAGGGTTTCTTTGCCTGAGGAAAGTGGAAGCCAGCAAATTCCTACAAGATCTTCTGAGAATGGAGGCAAGGGTGATCCTGAAGAAGCCCCCTTATCTGACTGACAAGCATCGTCCACTCTTTGTGGTTCAGTATACCCAATCTGCCCTCATTGAGATGTAACCAGCGTCCTGAGTGAGAGGCAGGAAGCGGCAGTCCCCTGCTCCTGTCCTCAATTTAGGACCGCACGGGAGGCGTAAGAAACAGATGAATTAAGGCGCGAGGTCTATTGCAGAAAGCACAAAAGACAGTTTGGCCCGCAGGTCATGAGAATCTAAAGGGAGGCGAGGTTGTAGCTGAGGGAAAGATGATTTGAGGGGCTGTTGCGGTCAGAGCAGGAGAAAGGGTTAGGCGGGGCAGGTTGCCAGCAGGGAGGCAGGAGACTGAGTGGAGAATGGAGCTTGAGGGCTCTGGAGGGGTGGGAAGAGGCCGGAGGCCCGGGGAGCAGTCTGGGCTGGTCATGCCAGGCAGGGCAGGTAGGTACTCTTCAGAGGAAAAGTCTAGCCACGCGGTTGTTGATTCCGGGCCTGACTCCACCTTGCAAGGGTGGGGGAAGGAGGTCCTGCCTCCCCGCACAGAGTCCAGCCCTTGGTGTCAGCGCTCCGTTTGTGATAGGTTCCGGGAAAGTGCGGCGCTCAATAAGAGATAACCAGTGGCAGCTGCCGGGTCAAGGCGTGTGCTGGGAGGCATTCCTTCCCGGAATGAGGACAGTCGTCCTCACTTCCGGGTGCTTGCGGATGGGCAGCCGGGGGTCCGAGGTCGACCTCCAGAACGCAGATCCCTCTGACCCCAGGTCTTCCACCTACATCGGCCATCTGATGACCGTTGGAAATGCGCGGGCCGCCGCAAAACAACTGCCGCGGACTCTCCACTTGCAGGCCCTAAACCCCACCCCTGAAGGCCCGGCAGCGTCTCCGTGGCGACAGGCTGCGAAGTGCGGCTGCGCAAGGGTGACGGAGCGCGGGCGAGGGGGAGGGGGTGTTTTGGTTCTAGCCGCTCCCCGTCCTTTCAGACTCGTTCGTCTGAAAGCTTCTCGTTCCTTCCTACCCTACCCCTTCCCTTTCCCTTACCCGGCCCCAGTCTTCCCTCCCTCCTTTCCCTCTGCCTGCCTTCCCGGGTCCGGGCCGTTTTCCGGGCCTGACGCACAAAAGTGCGCGGCCCCGGGGCCCAGTATATGACCCGCCGTCTTGCTAACCCTCTCTACTCCCGCCCCATGTGGCTGCGGGGCCGCTGCGGCGCTGCCCACTATGGCCCGGAAAGCAGTTAGCAGGAAGCGGAAAGCGCCCGCCTCGCCAGGAGCTGGGAGCGACGCTCAGTGCCCGCAGGTGAGGGCTAAGAGGCCTGGACCCGGGTTATATCACCGAAGCACCCAGAGAGAAATAGGGTTCTAAGGTCGGGGAACTGGAACCGGGGACCGAGGTCTGTAGTCAGAAGTGGGCAAGAGCGGAGCCCCAGCCTTTTGGGACAGGTCCGGGCCCTCGAGAGTTCATAGGAGATCAGAAAAGCCGGAGGAATGAGGAGCTAAAGGGAAACTTGGAAACGAGGCATACTCCGCGAAAGGCCTGCAGCCGGTAATGGGGCTTGAGGGGAAACTAGAATCTTGGCTTTGGAGGAAGAAAACCGACGTCGAGGGGGATCAGGAACAAAACCTCCCAGAAGATACTGGGAGGGAGAGTGAAGTCCCCCTTCCGGGGCCCTGGGAAGTGGAGATGATTGCGTCCCTTATATGGGAAGGGAGTTTCCCTCTGGATACCTCAAGCCCTGAGGTGGGCTTTTTGGTTCTTGGACCTGTATAAAAAACATCAGTTCTCATATATCATCCCTATAACGCTCTCGTTGAACGCGTATTCGGTCTCTGATTTCTCATGCTTCCTACCCCGTTGGTGTTTGGTTTTTCGAATTCTTCAACGGCCTGGAGCCTCAGCCTGGGGACGGGGTCACCCTGATAGCGCATCCCTGGAAGGCCTGGTACCCCATGCTGGCCCCAGCTGCACTCTCCATGCTCCACAGGGAGTACAGACTGAGAGTAAGAAGGGTCCTGGGTAGAGATGTAGCCCAGGTCGGTGTAGTAATTATTTGGTACTTCATTCTGTTCTCTATCAAGGATAACTTAAGGGGCTCTGAAACCTTCAGCCCTAATACAGCTAGTAAACCTTTTGACCTCTTTTCTGCTTCCTTTCCGTTGTCTTTCAGCCCTTGTTTCTCATAGGTAGGTTTGTCTATGAGCAGCATCTTCTCAGTGTTGGAAGAATTAAACTGGACTTGCTATATTCAGATTTCTGTTCTGTTGTAATTGTATTTCTGTTGTATGTAAATCCTACAGGATGAGTTCTTGGTGAGTTCTCTGATACAGAAGGATCCCTTGTTCTGAAGGAAGGTAGCCAAATCCCTAATTTCTAACGTTGCTTTCCACAGTTTGGCTGGGATCACTCATTGCACAAAAGGAAAAGACTCCCCCCAGTGAAGAGATCCTTAGTGTACTACCTGAAGAATCGAGAAGTCAGGCTTCAGAATGAAACCAGCTATACTCGAGTGTTGCATGGCTATGCAGCACAGCAACTTCCCAGTCTCCTGAAGGAGAGAGAGTTTCACCTTGGGACCCTTAATAAAGTGTTTGCATCTCAGTGGCTAAATCATAGGCAAGTGGTGTGTGGCACAAAATGCAACACGGTAAGTGTCTGGGGGGTAAGTGAACCTTATCTAGGGGCTTGGATACATTTTGGCTCTACATGTTGTAGAACCTCTCACTGCTCATTTTCCTATCAGTTTCTTTTGGGAGGAGATCGCCTCACTCTGCTTTCCGTTCCCTCCTGTCTTTTGATAATGTCTTCCTCTCTTTTTGTCCCTTTTTCCACGTCCTCATCTTCCTGATAAATCTTCAGAGGAGTCTGTTTCTTTAGGCCTCTTGCCATACAGCTGTTCCACTGCTTTTAGAGTTTTTTTTGGCCTCAACTTTTTATGTTGCTTTTTAAGTCAGAGATCTTAGAGGATCTTAGAGGAAAGACTTAGGAAAGAATGATGCTCAGGGCATCATTCAGGATACATAAAAGTGGAAACCTAGATCTTATCTGCTAAACTAAGGGTATATATAAAAATATTTTAAGTAGCACTTGGAGAGCACTTTGATGCAGTTGGTTAAGCATCCGACTCTTGGTGTTGACTCAGGTCATGATCTCAGAGTCATGAGATTGAGCCCTGGATTGGGCTCCAGGATTAGCATGGAGTTTGCTTGAGATTCTCTCTCTGTCCCTTGGCCCCTCCTGCTCATGTGCTTGCACTCTTTCTCTAAAACAAATAAATCGTTAAAAAAATATAATAAATTAGGGCACCTGGGTGGCTCAGTTGGTTGAGCAACTGCCTTCAACTCCAGTCATGATTCTGGAGTCCTGAGATCCAGTCCCTCGTTGCTCTCCCTGCTCAGCAGGGGGACTGCTTCTCCCTCCCTCATGTTCAGTCTCACTCATTCTCTCTCTTTCAAATAAATGAATAAAATCTAAAAAAATAAATAAGTAGCACTTCGTTCAGGATAGGAATAACGCAAACCTTTTTTCCCCCCTAAATATTCTCTTTCAGGGAGTAGAATCTAAAGTAGATTTAAAGATACCCTTTAAGAAAGGGAAGAGAATGTGTGTTTGGTGATATATTTCAGGATGTAAATGTTTGTTCTTGGCAAAGTAGCCTCCTGAAAATGATTCAAAAGGGAAGAATTATGTATTACATGAGGAGGAGAGTGTTTTTACACAGAATGAGTTAGAAAATAGCTGTAAGTGAATGAAAGGAAAAATGTATCACCTATATAATAAGCACAATTGTAGGCATAGATAAAATATGTCAATCCAGGATTGGATATTGCAGATATGATTGGAACAGAAGAACACAAATACCATGATGTCAGAGGAACGGCAAGAGGCAGCGCCTGGAGGTGAAAAATGATTCCAAATGAAGCATGAAAAAAGATGGGTTATAAACCCAACTGCTTTCTCTTTTTTCACCTTCGCTTGGGTGGATAGACAAGTTGTGTCATGGTGGTTGGGTAAATTCACCTTAGGAACACATCTTGGATTAATTGAAAGAGAAAAGGTTGCTCTAGATAAAGAGTGTCTTAAGCATTAGAAGTGTTTATAAAGAATACAGGCAAAGATTTAAACATGAGTTTTAAGGAAGGAAATAATAATGGTGGTGGTTGGGGCCCAGCTGGCATTTCCTCTTCTGTTGAAGGTTGCAGCTTATCATACAGAAGCCTTTCAAAACTGAGTAGTGGTAGCAAGCCTCTACAAAACTTCCTTTTCCTAGTCTCTCAGGCCACCACTCATGGTTTAATAGAACTGTTACTATTGTCACTTGAAGTAGAAAAAGAGTCTCCCATTGGAGGACTTCATTATACTTTCCACATATACCATTATAGTGTTTTGCCCAGCAAATGTTGAATTATAAACTAAGTTAATCATAGTCTTCTTCTTGAATTTATTGACCGTGTTTTGAAAGTTTGCATAATGTTAAGTAATAATCTAATGTACTCTTAATACCTACCTCTTTCTGTCTTCCTGTTTCTTCATAACCTAACATGTTTAAGTGAGGTCCTGTTTTCTTTATAATTTGTTTTGTTACTTGCTTAGCTTCCAGAACCAAAGCAGAGAACCAGGAATGCTGCTCTTTGAACTTTGTGACATTTGGCAAATGATTCCCTTATCTGTGCCTTTGTTTTCCCATCAGTAACAGGGGAGTAGTAATATCCAGAACTGAGAAGGTGGCTGTGCACATCTTGGGAAATTCTTGATGTTAGCAATATCATTCTTACACAAAAATAGTAGTGGTGATAATGAATGCAAAGCTTCATTTTTTTAAGAAAGATTTTATTTATTTATTTATTTACTTGTTTGACAGAGACAATCATTGGAAGCTATTTTATAACAAAAGGAGGGGTGCCTGGGTGCTCAGTCAGTTAAATGTCTGCATTCCACTTGGCTCAGGTCATGATCCTGGGATCAAGCCCTGCGTGGGCTCTCTGCTCAGCAGAGAGTTGGCTTCTCCCTCTTCCTCTCCTTCTGCTCCTCCCCCTGCTCCTGCCCATGCACAGTCCCTCTCAAATAAATAAAATCTTTAAAAAAAAATTAATAAAAGGAGAATACTTGAGTACTTTATGGTAAATCACATCTGCATGATATTATGCAGAAATTAACATAATTGTGAATACTAATAGCACACAGCTTTTCTTTCTTTCTTTTTTTTTTTTTTTCCAAGATTTTTTTTATTGGGGCACCTGGGTGGCTCAGATGGTTAAGTGTCAGCCTTCAAGCTCAGGTCATGATCTCCTTGTTCTGGGATACAGCCCTGCATCCCTGCTGAGCAGGGAGTCTACTTCTCTCTCTCTGCCCCTGCCCCCAATGCTTTCTCTTTTTCTCAAATGAATAAATAAAATCTTTTTTTTTTTTTTTTAAGATTTTATTTATCTCTTTGACAGAGAGAAACACAGCGAGACCAAGTACACAAGTGGGAAGAGTGGGAGAGGGAGAAGCAGGCTCCCTGGTGAGCAGGAAGCCTGAGTGGGGCTCCATCCCAGGATCTTGGGATCATGACCTGAGCTGAAGGCAGACACTTAACCGACTGAGCCACCCAGGCGCCCCAATAAATGAAATCTTAAAAACAAATAGGGGCGCCTGGGTGGCTCAGTCTGTTAAGTCTGCCTTTAGCTCAGGTCCTGATCCCGGGGTCCTGGGAGCAAGCCCCGCATCGGCGTCTCTCCCACATCAGGCTCTCCCTCTGCCTGCTCCTCCCCTTGGCTTGTGCTCTCCCTATCTCTGTCAAATAAATAAGTATTTTATTTATTTATTTGAAAGAGAGAGAAACCACGAGTGGTGGGTAGTGAGGAGAGGTAGAGGGAGAAGGAGAAGCATACTCCCCAGTGAGCAGGGAGCCCAAGGCGGGGCTTGATTCCAGGACTCTGGGATCATGACCAAGTCTAAAGGCAGCTACTTAACCAGCTGAGCCACCCAGGAGGCTAAACACACAAAGCATTTGATGCCTTAAATGTAACAAGGCACAAAATTTTTATTTGTTTTTAAATTTACTTATTTTAGCAATCTCTACACCCATCCTGGGGCTGGAACTCAACAGCCTCGAGATCAGTAGTTGCATGCTCCTCTGACTGAGCCAGCCAGGCGCACCAAGATACCAAAATTCTTATCTCTGCTTATTATAGCTATACACAGTTATGCATGCATGTGGTTAAGGACTAAACAGGAACTGGACAAATGAAAAAAACAGATTTGAAAAGAGAGAGGGGACACCTGGCTGGCTCAGTCAGTGGAGTGTGTGCCTCTTGATTCTGGAGATCATGAGTTCAAGACCCATGTTAGACAAAGAGTTTACTTAATAAAAATTTTAAAAAGGAACATTTGGGTAGCTCAGTTGGTTAAATGTCTGCTGTTAGCTCAGGTTATGATCCCAGGGTCCTGGGATTGAGCCCTGCACTGGGCTCCCTGTTCAGTGGAGAGCCTGCTTCTCCCTCTCCCTCTGCCTGCTACTCCTGCTTATGCTCTTGCTTGCTCTCTGTCAAATAAATAAATAAAATGCTTTTTTTTTTTTAATTCTTTTTTAAAAGGATTCGGAGTGCTCTGTCTTGCATTTTATAATTTCCATTATTGTTGATAAAATAATGTTAATAAACTTTTTTTTTTTTAAGATTTTATTTATTGGGGGGCCTGGGTGGCTCAGTGGGTTAAGCCTCTGCCTTCGGCCCAGGTCATGATCTCAGGGTCCTGGGATCCAGCCCTGCATCTGGCTCTCTGCTCAGCGGGAGCCTGCTTCCCTCCTCCCCCTATGCCTGCCTCTCTACCTACTTGTGATCTCTCTCTCTCTCTCTCTCTCTCTCTAATAAATAAAATCTTTGGGGGAAAAAAAGGTTTTATTTATTAGAGAGAGTGAGCACTAGTGGAGTGAGGGGCAGAGGGAGAAGCCAACTCCCTGCTGAGCAGTGAGTCCATTGTGGAACTCGATCCCAGGACCCTGGGATCATGATCTGAGCCAAAGGCAGACACTTAACTGACTGTGCCACCCAGGCACCCTATACTTTTCTTTTTTTTTTTTTTTAATGTTACTTCAACTAGATGAATGTTGTTGTTGTTAAAGATTTTATTTATGTATTTGACAGAGAGAGATCACGAGTAGGCAGAGAGGCAGGCAGAGAGAGGGGGAAGCAAGCGCCCTGCCGAGCAGAGAGCCTGATGCAGGGCTCGATCCCAGGACCCTGAGATCATGACCTGAGCAGAAGGCAGAGGCTTAACACACTGAGCCACCCAGGTGCCCCGAATGTTGTTTTTTCTTAGCCTAAAACAGTGGTGGAAATGGCCTTGCTCAATTACCATTCATTGCTTGTCTGCTGACAAAGATTGAACACAGTTATATATTATACATCTCTTTTGTGGAGAGGGAATAAAATATGGTGGTAGGATATATAACAAAAGGAATTTCCTTTCTGAGTCACACAGGAATTTTTTGGAGCCCAAAATAACATCTAGAGATCTTGCTTCTTATTGGGCAAGTACACAACCATATTGTCCTTAAGTCTTTATGCTATAATGCTCAGGAAGTAAAAGTGAAAGAAAAAGGATTACATAGTATTACCATTGTTTTAATACTGTTATTACTGAAAGCTTACAATTTCTTAATAT